ATGGATACCTTCATTTTGAGAAAATATGAATTTGATCTTTGGATGAGCTATTACTTCAAGATACCCACCTAACCTTTTCCTTTATACCAGTACATATCAGAAGACTAATGAATTTATGATGGTTTCTTCTTCAGTTGGTGCATGAATTTATGTGGATCAGCACCTTCATTGATTCATTTATACATTTGTTGTTTGTTGCCCCACAACCCTTGTTCTCCTTACTAAGGTCTGAAAAGAACAACACATCCTAGAAGTCGGCTCTGCCTCCTGCTAGTGATAGGTGTAACCCTCACAAATTCAGCCTCTCCCATCAAACCCCACATCTCCACCACCACCCCCCTCCCCCCCTCCAATTATTATAAAAGAAAAACAAAGTCTCAAAAGACGGTATATATGGTCCCCACAAGATCTGTGTCATCATAATTTCACCATTCTACAGCCATTGACTTTCAACTAAAATACTGAGAATGTCTGGAAGAAAAATAAAGAAGCCAAAAGGGATACATACTTTCTCTAAGCTCAAAGGATGCAGAATTTAAAAATATTACCAAACTATTGTTATTATATCTACCAACCAACCATTGATCTTGGTAGAATCTACAGAGAAAAAGGTTGTTACTCTTCTTCTAGAATTTAAGCTGTCCTGTCAGTCCCTTTTTTTTATTATATTAATTGCATATTTTATGAGTAAATACCAAATGAGGTTTCAAGAAAGCTTAGGATCCTCCTTGAGGGGATGCAAGAACATGCAGAAGAGAATTAAAAAGGAAAAATCCTATCCATCAAGAAAAACAGGCATTCATCTTAACAATCCAATGCAAAAAACAGAATGAAGATCATTCATTTCCAACAGAATATCCAATATCTTAATAACTCTTTTCCCTGTTGGGAGCTTTCCAAATTTATTATTATATGCTACCTTTTTTCACTGAGAGCTGAAACAGAGTAGAGAAAGAAACCATGGAAGAAAAGAAGAAACGGGAAAAGTAAAGATGGAGACAGTAAATGACTATTAGTCTTAAGCTTTTCTCTGCCCACTAATGAGGTTTTTGGGCTATAATAATGACCATCAGTATATATACTGAAGAGTTCTAGGTTTAACCATAAGGAGGCAGATAGGCCAACTACTCAAAACCCACAAGAAAACTACCTCCAAGACAGGAAGAGTAAACCTGTCCTGTTATAGTTATGCATAGCTTTGTAGTAGCGAGAAGCAAGCAATTATGCTTATTCTAATCTGGAAATATATAAATCAAAAAACTTCAAAAGGGTTTTGGGTTTACAGTTTAAATATCCTAAAGGGACAGAATGCAGCATTTCATTAGCTTCTGTAGCAACATATACAAATTTTACAATTTTTTCCCCCTGAGCATAAAATCATTTACCTCAGACGTCTAGAACTTCGAGTTATTCTTCTTGTACTGGACTCAGCTATAGAAGCCTGGGAACCATATCCAACAGTATCTGCACCATCATTTTGGCTACTTCTCTGTTTCTTTTTCTTGGATCCCTGAGATGGCTGGCTCTGACTGGAAGCTACTGTCTCATGCTCTTGCTCCATGGCTTCTCTCTTGGCTACTTGATAGGGCCACTTAGTGCCACAACTTGGGCATTCTACTTCACCCTGCAAGTTATCAAGTGGAAATAAGGACATGAAACCTGCTGGTAATACAAATGACATCAAAAGGATGCATACCTTCCGGGAAACTTTTGCCATGAGACAGTACAAATGAATTCGAACTGTACAACTGTCACTGGGGCACAATTTGGCCTGTCAAGAATAATCACAGAAAAAAAAAATCAGATTTAGGTAAAACCAGAAAATTTTCCATTTTAGTTGTAAGTGTTGAGAAGTCACTGGAATAAATGTCTACCCATGGTTATGCTTCTAAACCCTCCCCCTCAATGAACCCATCTAACAACATTTCCTACCATTCCTGTCATTGTCCTTAAAATACTTCTTTGTGCTTTGTGAGAACTACGAAAGCATTAGGAAAAATGCAGAAACAATCTCCAATCATGAAACAAATATAAATTAGGCAGCATTCGCAATATCACGACCTTCAAACCAGTTTCATTGCAGACTTCACATGACGGAACATTGGCATTGCGGAACCAACTACGCAGATCAAGAATGGACCTGACACCAACTCCAATTTTCCCATCTTCTGTATGACAAAGCCACTTATCCTGTACAAGTTCATGAAGAGTTTTTTCCTTCTGAGACAACGTGAAATTCCTGAAAGCAGCAGGAACTTGAGACGAAGCATCCTGAGATTGTGATCCAGCCCCACTCAGAACCTGATGATATACAAAATGAAAAATATAAATACCTTTTGAAAAAATGCATATGTTGTCAGTACGATTATACAGAATCAGGAGAAAGTTGTTGGACCTGGTTCTCCACTTGTACGATGAGAGCATCTATGTTAGATATGCAACCTTCACCTGTAAGATCCTCTGCTATCGCTTCAACCTAAATTTACCATAAAAAAGAAACATATTAGGAAAAATGCCTGAAAGCAGATATCAGATATGGAATGGAGGAGCCACCCAAACCTCTTCAAGCATTGAAATCCAAAAGATTATAGATAGTGAATGATAATGAAATACTAAGAAATTTAGATGAGAAGTGGCACTAATATTACTTTAGATGGTGAAATATCCCCAAGTACATAGAAGAAAGTAGAAATAAAGCATACACGACCCAAGAAGGATCTCAATTTTTTCCTCTTTTTGTGTAATGAGATGAACAGAAGTTAAAAGTATGATGGCAGAACTACAACTTCAGGGAAAGTTCCTTTTAATAAAAACTTGGAATGTGAACTTACAATGCCTTTAAAGAAAGCAATCTGTGGAGCCGAATATTTTGTTCCAAGCTTAGATTGTTCATCCAAAACATTGTTAGCCACCCCGTAATACACTTGGCCATTGTATTGGTCTCTACAAGCCCGTAAGTCAAACTGTATAAAGGAAAGTTCCTTGTTTATCATTAGAAGATACTCCTTAAATAGTTCTGGATGATCATCTGTATCAAATATAGTAACCATGTTAAAATGTATGGATAAATAGATTACGCAATTTAATAACTTCAAAAAACATAATAATCAACCATAAAAACTTGACTCTCTCTTACAATTAACATCCAAACATTAACTTCCTAGGGCACTTCTCAATCTAAATTCATCCTTTTCATCCAAACATACTTCTGTAGGAAAGGCTCAACAACAACCCTGTATAACTTTCCCAACTCAACCTTAGGTAAGCCACACATATGGCTGATCAACATCAAGATCAAGCAAATATTTTTATGGCACTATATGGATTTTCACCCTTTTTTGGAGATTAATACTATTAGAATCTTAAACTCCTCCCCTCCCCTCCTCTCCTACGCCCATTTTTTCACTTCCAATCCCCCAATTGGGTTGCCCAAGTTAAGGTGGACACCACTGCTCCTAGCTTTAGTTGTTGATAATAATTATTTTACCTTCACTTTCAAGTTTCAACAGAAAGCATCACAGAAATATCAAATAACTTTTATCAACAAAAATTACTGAATTTCAAAAAAAGAAAGAAATTCAGAATCAGAAGAAAAAGTAGAAAAGTACAAAACTTTAAAACAAAGAGAACCTGGGTTTAGGCCGGTGATGCCAGAGAAGACGGAATGGAACTCCTTCTCCGTCATAGGTCCGCGGGTCAACAGCGCTTGGATGAGCGCATGGTGCTTCCAGTCTAACACAGCCATTATCAGTTTTGATTTAGGGACAAACCCTAAATTTGCCTCCGATTGAATAGAAGCTGTTTGGAAGGTCGGAAACTCGGAGATTTTCGCCGGAAACGAAAGATTAAAACAAATGTAGGGAATACTGGTTAGGGTTTCGGTATTTATAGTACTACAAAGTCCAGGTGATGGCGGGACTGCAGATGTTTTGGTCATTTTAGGGCACCATCTTCCTCAGGTCCTCAACGGTTCTATTTTTTTTTTATTTTTTTATTTTTTTCTAAATAGAAGTAAATATAATTTTAAAATTCCATTAGTATTAGTAATTTTGATAATTAAAATTAATTTAGGGATTAATAAAACTAAAAAGAATTAACATTACTACTTACCTTTGACGGTGTGGTATTTTTCTTTTCTAGATCTAATTCTCTTGTATATCATTTTTATGTAAATTTACAAATTTTCACCTTTTTTTTGTCAAGTTTAAATCTGAATTTTAAACCTAATTAAAAAAAAAGATAATACTCATAAAAATAAATATACATAAAGAATCTGATTTTATAATTTAAATTTATTTAGACTGTAAAACAAAAATCATTTAATGAAAAGAAAGCTCTCAATATCAAAATACCTAACTTTCAGCAAACAATTAATATTTTATTGTCTAGATTAATCTGAATTATAAGGCACTTTTTCAATATACATATTCAGGGGAATTGATTGTGTCCAAAAGTCATGTAAAAAATTACAAATTAGGCTAAAATATTTGTTCTTTATTTTTATTTTATTTTTGTATTTTGTAGCCGAATAAAAATACAAATGATTGTTTTTCAGTAAATGGATGTCTTTTCTTCTTTTTTTTTTAATAAATAAATCTTCAAACTAATAAAATTTGAAGGACAAAAAAAAAAAGAAAAAAAGAAAAAAAAAGGGAAACAAGTTAACAAATAAGCAGGCCCAGACATGGTCCCTTGAGTCTTGAATAAGAAGAAAGACAATCTCATTACCAACTTATGGCACAGTGAAGAGTTTACATTCCATTACATTACATTAAATTACACCAGGTAGTATCTAGTCTAATATCTAATTCAGATGAAGGCATCTAAAGTATTCATTCAAAACATGCATTTTGCAGAGCATTGGAATCACTAAAGGGTAATGATTTTTCGATGCAGATGTGCTTCGGTAGAACCTCCTCCACTGTGATCATGATCATGGTCATGGAAAATGAGAGTCAATATCCCTACCAAGCACAGAACAGAACCTACAAGAAGTTTGTCATATCGCTCCACCCAATGAAACTTGAGCTGGCTGGCACCGTAGAATGATAGTGCAACCAGGGAGGTCATCACTGTTATAGTGCTGCATATCCAGTATCACCTTGAATTAAGTCATATAATATTGAAACAAATCCTCAAAATCTAATATTTCAAATACAAGAAACAGAAATTAAGCAAACTGAAGATGGAATATCCAAAGGTTATGGTATCAGATGAATGCAGATAGAGAAACTAAGAGCCCTTTTTCATTGATGAATACCTGAATAGCAGCACCATGATGGCAAGTATCATCATGGAAGATGAATTCCCAACAGCTAGAAACACTGGAAGAGTAGTTGCACAAGGGGACAATGCAGGAACCAGAACAAGTCCGGCAACAGCCATTTTCTCCATGGGTTGGTTGTGAGAATGACTGTGGCCACCCTTTCCAGTCAAAAACAACAAGACATAGCTACCACCAAGAAATATGAGCAAAAGCGAGGCAAGTTTATGCACCGTTTCTTCACCAGCAATTGTGTTTGCCATAGTGATTGCCGTTACACCGAGAAGTGAAGTGGATATTACATGCAAAACTGCTCCAAATGCAGCTGGATGAAGCACAAAATTAAGGTAAAGAAAAACACCAGAAGAAATGCAGCTCCTAAAGTTTCATACATTATGATCAAAAGAGTTTTTTCAGTCAGATTTTTTTGAAAATCTAGAACGGTGCAAAATCAACCTTAACCCTAAATCAAGAATGATAACCAGTTCTCATCTCCTTCCTAAATTTACCTCCAACCAAAAATCAAGCACCATACTGAATATTTTTCCATAAAAGAATCAGAAAATTATGAGAAACCCAACCTGCAAAATAGGCTCAACAAGGTCTGTTCAGAAAGTATTAGCTTAGTTTACCACAGATATAATACAGCTTTACCATAGGAAACCAAAAGCACGCAACTTTCGCATTTAATCAAAATCCAAACAAGCAATTCAGCATAGATATACACGAACTGCGAGTAATTTTTCCCAAGAATCAAATGCCCACTACCTAGCTAGGCTTCCAGAACCCAGGTATACTAGTCTACAGAGATCATGAAAGAAAAAAAAAATATTTGAACATCTGGGTATAGTGAATTGGAATGAAAACAAGGGATCTACCCAGAGAAACAAGCATGAAATGGTGAATAGGAACTTACTGAGGAGAAGGGTTCGAGAAAGGGTCCATTTCTGGGCGCGACCCACGATGGAGAAAGGGAGCCAGTGGGTGGGGATGAAGGAATGCAAGAGGGAAACGGTAGCTATCCCTCCGAGAGTGGACAGATCTTCGGCGGTGAAACCTTTCATTGACTATACAGAGAAGAATCGAGAGTCTAGATCCGGCGTCAAGAACGTCAGTGAGAATGTGATTCCGTTTCTACATTACCATTTCGGGAAAATGGAAACGGATTCAGTCGATCAGGTTGTGCTTGCTTCGTAGAGAGATCCGAGGAAATAGAAATGAAAATTTGGGGAGACGGAAATATAGTCGTATTTCATCGTCGGTTTTGCAGAATTTCTCAACCTTTTTTTTTTATTAAATTTTTTTTTTTATATATAAACTCTGTGTATCCAAACGCTCGAATGCGCAAAGAACACTTTTTCAATATTTATTTTTTTATTTATAATAATTAAATTCAAATTTTTATTTAAAATAAACAAAAAATTTTTTTATTTAAATAAATAGGTCATTGATTTTTTTTTTTGAAACAAATTGGAGATAGTTACTTTACAGTGATTTAAAATTTCAATTTGATTTTTATTTAAATTACTAAATATTACTAATTACTTAAGCAACTCAATAATAATTTTCTTTCATTAAAAATAAGTATTAAATAAGAAATACTGAGTTAAAATCTTCTTTCACCTTTGTTTGTTAAAGAGCCTAATATAATATTAGACTATTCAAATTATATAAGACTGCAAAATACTTAATAAGTATTAACTGCACTCAACCGAACTCCTATAACAATTTCGACTGCAATTCTGACTTGTAAAGATTTTAAGAATCATATCCCATCTTATCCTTGAGAAGTGGGTTGAATTCGTCTCCACCATACATGGAGATGTTAAAGCAAATTAAAATAAAATAAGAGATATAGGTATAGTTGCAAATGATCTCACTCACAAAATTAACTAGTACAAAGAACTATCCATAACATATCATCCATCCAAAGCAACATCCAGAAGAACTACAAAGAAGCTTCTGAATTTTAGAATTTAGGTTTTCTTTAACATCAATAAAACAAAAATTTTCGAGGACTGAAATCTAAGATGATCTTCGAGCATTGTCAACTTAAGCATCACTAGGCATGCTCTTGATGATATCTGAATCACCTGAAATACAGAAAAAGGTATAGTGTTTAGATCAGATATTGCAGTTGCATATAACCAACTTGTGATCAAACATCACTCAACATACCTGGATCAATAATGCTGAGGCAACATACTCTATAATACTTGCCGCAGGCAGTACCCAAGTCTACATTGTCTGTCAAAATAAAACACATTTTTAAGGGAAGTGATACACAACTGATTCAATTACTTCCATCCATGTACAAAATTTGAGGTTTAAGTCGTCTAAATCAAGCATGCATCTATCTCTCATGACCTTTTGATATCATTCACATTTGAAATCCATAACTATTAACGTACAGGGATAATTCAACATCTCACAAGAATCAAAGTTCCATTACTGATAACTAAAGAACAAGAAGAAAGGAACCTAAATGATTCAAATAATTAGACTTTACTGCTTTAACCGTGATTCTTAAGAATGCAACGCAAGGACTAGTCAAAGGAACTACGAAGTAAGGGCATCTGTTGTGGCTCAAACTAGACTAGTGTAACAAAGAAATGTGAAACAAGGATTGGATTTAGAAACGTACTTCCATTGTAGTGATGGACTCCAACTTTGGCCAACATAGCATAATACTCAATTTCAGACTTCCTAAGAGGGGGGCAGTTGTTGGCAATGATGATCAATTTCCCTGTAAAATGCAAACAACAGTGCTTATGCCATGAAGTAACATAATAATGGAAAGCCAAAAAATAACATGATAATGGAAAGCCAAAGAAACACAAAGTAACCCAAATAGAAGCAAAGTTTAACAGATTAGTCGATTCAGCTCAAATCTGCCATACAAAAAAGGTCAGAAATTAAATCATTCGACATTCAAGATACTGCTTCCATTTCATAAACTACTCTAATCACAATCTAATTCAGGCAGCTACATGCAGGAATAAGATTTATTAAATAACAGCAAAAATAAAACTTAGTTCCATCAAAATTTAGCTAACAAATACATTTCCAGAAATACCCAGATGGATAATGAGGGCATCAGATACAGACCATACACAAAACACTGTAACTAACGTAGACACAACAGCATTGCAGGCTGAAATCGAAAATAATCGCATCAAATCAGAGATGAGGCTTACCCTTGGAATTCCTTAGGGACTTGAGAACGGTTTTGTAGCCCAAAGTGTACTTGCCACTCTTCATCACGAGAGCGAGCCTGTTGTTGATGCTCTCATGGGTCTTCTTCTGCAATACCAAGCAACCAGTTAGCGGCGGCGAAAGAAGACGAAGTAAGATTTATAAATTAGCCAGGGAGAAAGAAGGGAAGAAAGGACGAGAGATATTACGGTCTTCTTGGCGGCCACCATGGTTGCTGAGCTTCGAGGATGACGAGCGACGGCGGAGGCGAATGACTTACCCACAGACGACGAAAACCCTAAAAGACGAAATGGAAGCGGCGATATATAATGGACGAAGTAGGGTTTCGTGGTGCGATGAGTCTGGCTGGCGTAAACTGTGTCATTGGACCTCTCAAAATA